ACCAGGTTCATCTATTTTTAACCTGCTGTCTCTCATATATTCACTATGAGTCTGATTATTTCAGTGAACACCGTAATAAATACGTCAGTTGGACCCACCCACTTCCACGCTGGTGCTGTTAGATAAAGTCTGAATGCCTAATTCTGATTACTTTTATTGCGAGGGCACTACTTATCAGGCACTTTGTTTTTGACTCGTGAATTTCCTGAAAGGTCTTTTTGTGTTTTCTGATGGATAATAGATTGTCTAAGTTATAAAATTATAGATAATGGCTCCTTTTATCTCACCCACTTAAATAAGTCTCAAATTTGCTTTGCTCTAGAGGTGATCTTTTTCACAGTGGGATGGTTAAGTGTTAGTTACTCCATTTCTTCTAATTGATAGACGAGTAATCGTATGAACTGCAACTGTCTGGTGAGGTTTCCACTATGTTATTAAGAACCCATTAAAGTGATGAGACCTCTGGCTATTGGGCCCTTCATTTTGTTCTGCCAAATAAGTCAGAACTAATACCACCAATGACTGGATTGCTTTAATCTTACTATACTTACCTACATGGATAGTTTTTAAAATATGCTGTTCTTCCACTTTTAACTAGTTGTTGTATGATTAATTATTACATTTTGGAAAAGTAGAATTTTAGTGGGTTTCTTTTGGCCCAGTCCCTCAATTGTTTGACTTTTACCTACAGAAACCAATTGATAGATGTGTGTACGGTGTTTTCCAGGGTATTCCTTCAGTATTCCATAAGTCTGTGTAGCCTGGCACTCGCTAATGAGCTTAAAATTAACATTCACCATGTCTCAATTTCTTTTTCTCAAGAAGAGGGATACTTGCTTGCCAGGTTCTTCTGGGTATCCCCAGGGCCTAACGACACAATGACTGCGTAAAATACAAGCCAGGCAGGGAATGTTCATCGAACCTGACTTTCTCCTGTGCTTTCATTGTACATGCATACAAAATTCCACTGATAGGTCAAGGCCAGAGTTTTTTCATCATATTAGAATAACTAGTTTTCAGGTCTCTGGGCAGCCTTTTGATGAAGAGATAACACAGAGGTCACAAAAATATACTTTTATATTCCAAATGCTGACATTAAATGAACTAATCATGAAGCCATTCAAGGTGGTACTTCTGTTGTATAAAGCGAGGCATGTTGACAATACTAAAAATATATTTGAAAATGGTACATGAAAAATGATTTATATAAGGGAAAAAATTAACATTTTTGCCTTATAAGAATATTTCCCCCTCCCCCCGCGATTCTGCCCTGTTTTTCATAAAAAGCCCTCAAAGTGTCACCTTGATTTTGACTATTTTTGCTGAGAAATGAACTTTTTCAGCTGTGTTAGATTACCAGAAATAAGACTATCAAACAGTAACGGGAGCCCTTCAGTAGTGGAAGTATAATTATCATATTAGCATCATAAATCATTGCTTCCAAGTACTACAGTAGGTCATGAGAGCGACAGCTGCAGCATTGTTCTACCGAGATGATGTTTCAGTAAAGCCATTTCTGTTTTTATTCACTCAAATTTACAGTTTCTCTTTTGTGTTGACATTAAGCAGTGAATCTATTAGTTTCCGTTACCAGCAGAATAACTAAAACTATAAATTGTTCTATTATTTTCTCTCACAAGTCCTCTCAAGCTGCATAGATGCCTTTAATTTGATAAAACATCTGGGTTATACATTTTGTTTCTTCTCTTTCTTTCGGCAAATATGTACTTTCTTAAGCCTTTCCTTAAAAAACAAAACAAAACAAAACTCGATAGCAGCTCTGTCCTGTCTTTTGACCTCAGATTCCTAATAGTTAAATTGGGCATCTAATTGTAAGGTAATCCAGATAAGATGCAAAAGTCAGATCGCTCCATCATATTTACAGGACTCATTTTTAAAAATATCTGCAGTATTACGTTTCAGTGACTTGCTGGTTCTGCCAAAAAAAACCAATGTATCATAAATACCACATAAATACATAATTTTTAATATCTAAATATTATAAAAAGGTTATGTCTTCCTAATGTAAACCAAGCTGCAGAACACCAATTTAAAACACAATGTCATAGCCACCAGCGTAAACACATTTTAGCAAGTTCCAGAAGCGGCCTTCAAGAATGTAATTATCTTGGACAACCGTTGTTCTGATGTTGGAATAAACCAGTTTATTATGTTACAATTCCCTAAGTGTAACAAGCTGCACAGTAATTGCCACAGTCCTCTAGGGTTCTCAGAGGCAAGCCCTGTAATTTTGGCTTTGGTTGCAGTTCTGTAGGCTTTGGCCCACCTCATCTGTTTCTTGTTTCTGCTTTGTTTCCCATTTAGGGGTCTTTGTGATGAACTCAGTTGTTCGAGAGTGAGAATCACTTGTTTGTGTTGTCATTGCTGCTGGCATTTCCTTTCAGTTCATAGGTGTAACCAGTGATCTGAATTTAGTGGACAGGATTCTGGGTAAATCTGAAACCTAATCTAGATGTTGGGATGTTTCTTAGTGATGTGCCAAATCTAAGTAGTTGGTATAGTTGAATTGTTGGCTGACATTTTGGTTTTGTTGAACAGCCACTTAGAGATCTTTTAATCAGTCTCCCCAATAAGCTTTCTTTTGGGCCACTGAAGTGAATTTTTTCTGGATTGATGGGGACTCAGCCTTTTCCTTCACAAAAGCCTCTAAGATTTTTTAAAAATTAGTATGCATTTTAAAAAGGCACGACAAAGCCAAGATAACATAACACTTTATAAAATTAAAAGTAATTTCTTAACACAATTTAACGCTTATTCCATACTCAATCTTCCTATTTTTGATAAATACGTCCTTTATAGCTGGTTGGTCCAAGTTAGGATGCAGATGAGTACCATATACTGCTAATGGTTGTTGTGATACTGTGATTTTATAGTAAGAAATAAATGTTTGGCCTTCCTCAGTTCCTGGCAGGAGCTCCTACAACTCTGGTAACTTCCTAAGTGAGGAGATAGATAAAGGTGCCTTTTGTTATGCTGATGAGGCAACTTTTGGAAAGCCCCCTAGGTAACCCCAGGGTGGGGACTGGTTGTAAGGGGAACCCATCAGGAGATTAGAGGGTTGAACCTTTCAGTCCTACCCTCCGACTTCCAAGGCGGTGGGAGAAGGAAGATTGAATCAATTGCCAATGGCCAGTGATCAATCAATCATGGCTGAGTAATGAAGCGTAAGTAAAAACCCAGAGGACAGGGTTGGAGAGCTTCAGCTACTGTGAACGCATGCCAGTGCGGGGAGAGTGGTGCCTTCGTGAAGAGAGGGCATCAAAGTCCTGTGCCTCTTCTTGCATACCTTGCCTTTGTTCCTCTTCTTCTGGCTATTCATCTGCATCTTTTATAATACCCTTTATAATAAACTGGTAAATATAAGTAAATGTTTCTCTGAGTTCTGTGAGCCACTCTAGCAAATTAATCAAACCCAAGGAGAAGGTGGTGATTTTATAGCCAGTCAGTCAGAAGCATGGGTGACAACCTGGGCTTGCTGGGGGCTGTCTTGTGGGACCGAGCCCTTAACCTGTGGTCCGATGCTATCTTCAGGTAGATAGTATCAGAATTCAGGTGATTGTTTGGTGGTATGGGAAAAAAAACACACCTGGAGATATGTTCCTTAGGCTTTTTAAATCTCTATCTGCTTTTTTCATGTCATTGATTTATTAAAGAAGCTAGATCTGTTGATAAATTAGAACATTTATTTTAAATTTATTTAAATGTTTATTTAAACATATTTAAATATGTAAGCATATTTAAGTTTATTTAATTAAGAACATTTTCCCTACACAGCCCAAATTACATTGTTACACTTATCAATATTAATAACTCCTTAATATAATCCAACACTTAATCAATATTCAAATTTTCCCAATTTGTTTTTAAGTCTTCTACATCTGGTTTTTTTAAGCTAGGATCCAGTCTAGAAGCACACACTGCAAATGGTTGTTTTGCTTTGTTTTCTCTGTATCTTTTGATCTGAAACAGTTCCTTTTTTTTTTTAAGATTTTATTTATTTATTTGACACAGAGAGAGACAGCGAGAGAGGGAACACAAGCAGGGGGAGTGGGAGAGGGAGAAGCAGTCTTCCCGCCAAGCAGGGAGCCCGATGCGGGGCTCGATCTCAGGACCCCGAGATCACGACCTGAGCCGAAGGCAGTCACTTAATCAACTGAGCCACCCAGGTGCCCCTGGAACAATTCCTTTTATTCATATCAGGAACTTGTGGACACGGTGAGACTGGTGTCTTGCAGAACAACCCAACTTCTGGATTTGGTTCCTTTTTCCCTCCCACACTGTGCTGTCTAGCACAGTGACCACTAGTCACATGTGGTTATTAAGCTGTTGAAATGTGACTATTCCAAATTGAGATGTGTTTTGAGTATAACGTACACATTGGCTTTCTAAGACTTAGTATAAAAAAATGTAAACTATTTCACTAATTTTTTACATTGAATACATGTTCAAATGATAATCTGGGTGTATCAAGTTAAATAAATCATATTACTAAAATTAACTTTACCTGTTTCATTTTTGAAATGTACCTACTAGAAAATTTTATTTGGCTCCCAGTATATTTCTAGCAGATAGTGCTATTCAACAGATCTTAAAACAGAAAATTACTACCCCAAAATGACTCCACATCAGTTCTCTGAGATGTAGTTGAAGAGAGAACATTAATAGGCTAAAATGTTCCTTAGCTGGAGTTTTACAACATTTAATTGCAGTGTCCTTCCACGTAGAAGCTAAATGATTTTCCATAGTTGATCTAGCCTTGAGCATTTCAAGACCGAATATCCTATAAGCATAGCATTGTCCAATAGATGGGATAGCTACTAAAGATTTTGAGTGTCTCTGATAGCTGGAGTGTTAAATAACGTAAACCTGGAGGTGTGCCACGGATGCTAAATACAGTTGTAAACCAGTGCTGGTGATTTAAAAGCAAAAAAGTTTATGAGCCAATGAAAGTCATGCTTTATTTATTTGTTTATTTCTAGGGTTGGACAACCTCGAACAGACAGCCGTCTCCAATTTTGGAGTACTGGAAAGTCAGCCTGATTTCCGAACCCCAGAGTTTGTAAGTACTACTACTCCATCTTCAATTCTCACAAAAGGGAGAAGGTTTTTTATGGAATCTTGCCCTCAGTGCCCCTAGATGTGGCATGGGTCTCAGTGGCAGGGCTGTGTATTTATCTATTTATTTATTTATTTAATTTTTATTTTATTTTTTTTAAAGATTTTATTTATTTATTTGACATAGAG